ACATTTCTGAATGTTATGCCTCAATACTAGTACTCACTTAAAATCTCTCTCTTTGTAGTTAATAAACTTGTTTTGTTGTTTTATATAATCCAATGTGTTTAAGTTGAAGTGTCTGGGTAACTATTTAAGATAAGAGGCTAATGTATATTATAGTGCAGGGGTCGGCAACCTATGGCACGTGTGCCAAAGACGACACGCGAGCTGATTTTTAATGGCACGCTGCTGCCTGCCGAGTCCCAGCCACCAGGCCCGCTCAGCCTGCTGCTGAACCCAGGCTGGGACCCTGGCAGGCAGCAGTGTGCCATTAAAAATCCTGCCCGCCCCGGCCCGCTCTTCTCCGCCCTCGCCTCCCTTCCCCCAGGGCAGGGTGAAGAAGCTTGGTCCTGCCGACTGCTGCTGCAGAGTAGGCAAGCTCCGCCATGCCTCTTCCCCCAGAGTGCTGGTTTCCTGCCCCTCCTCCTCTCTCTTCCTGCCCCTCTTCCTCTCTCTCCCTGCTGCCAAACAGCTGATGGCCCTTGTGAGGGAGGGGGAGAAGTGGAGCCTGGTGAGTTGCTCAGAGCAGGGGGCTGGGAGCACGCCCACGACCCCAACCCACACCCCCAGCCCTCTGCCCTGATCCCTGCACCCCCCTCACACACCTCCAGCCCTCTGCCCTGACCCCTCACCCACCCCAGCCTCCTGCCCTGACCCCTGCATCCCCCACAACCCCAGCCCTAACTCCAGCACCCCCCCACACATCCTGCCCCCAACAGCTCTTCTCCTGACTCCTGCACCCATTGGCCATTAGATTGACTCGAGCTACGACAGACTGGTAACTATAAAGACCATCTGCAGGATGTGTGTGTGTTTGTGGTGTAACTGAATGCATATGCATATGTATTTTCAATAAATGCTGCATATTACCTTTTTCCCTGAAAAAATCCCATGTGCTTCTTATAACCATAACATGTGTCCTTATTTTCCTTCATAGATGTACCTATTAATAATCATCAAATGATAGCATCTATACACCTCTCATCACCCACATTTTCAACTTTATGTCATGTCCATGCTGGGCATGGTAGCTGTTCAGCAAGAGTAGGTTTAAACTGCAAACAACTTGGCAACAGATCAAGTATAATTACCTGACACATTACCACCCCAGGCAATGACTGGGGGTGGCAAGGCACTGGTTGACTTGTGAGTCATCACAAATATGCGTGGAAAGAAAGTAACATCTAGGAAGGCAATACAAGGAAAATTCATCCTTTCATTTTCTGGAAGTGTAGAAACTTTTGATCCGTAAGGCCACAGGAGACAACCAGAAAATGGGAATTGTTCCTGGACACCAGGGAGGATGTGGGAGGTTGGAAGGTCTCAAATGTAAAGTTCTCTCTCCTCCTTAGGCTAGCTAGCTGATAGGGGCTTTGGGGCAGTTGATACTCATACTGATTTGTACCCACATTTTGTACCATAGCTCCTTCTCCCCCACCCTTTCAAAAAAAGGAAACACAAATGAGACTGGCACAATCACTTTAAGACCTATAAAAAGAAAGCAATGACAAGAGAGACTCCATGGAGCCACTCAAAAGCAGAATTGAGACCTATTCTTGACAATGTCTTTTTTAAATATATAAACAAGCTATAGAACAGTCCATAGCCCACTTCTCTCACTAGAAGGGGTACTCCTGATCATATTTTATTCTGTTCAACATGTAGCGTACATAAATGTATTACCCAGCATATATGCATATATGAAGCAGGTATTTGTGCACCACCTGCATGAGCACCTTGGAAATTTGGCATTAGATGAAGGGATTCATAGTACTTTGGAGAATATTTTTAAAAATAGTAGATCCTCCTGAAAAGAAGTTGAAGTCTATTCTGCTAGTTAACAGCTCTAATTCATTTTCCTGAAGAAGACAGCAAAAGAGCCTTTTGGATGGTTGTACTCTTTAAAATTGCGCATTGCTTCAAGAGCTGGAAGTCTGAATATAGTTTTGATTCCAATTGAAATAATTCACTATTCATAGAAATGGCACCAACACCAAAGAGCAGAATAGCAAAACAGAGGAATGGGTGGAGAAAATGTCTCCCATGCTAGTGGCTGAGTAAAATTTTATTGCATTGAATTTTCCAAGCATCCATATTTTGTTCAGTGTAATGCTTGAGGACATCTGGAAGTCGTTCTCATGCCCACCCACCCTTTAGTGTTGGAAAGACCTTTACATATGTCTGCAGAAAAGCTGGAAAATTACACAATTATTTAAACAGAATTTTTAAAAAAGAGATTTTACCATTGAAATGGTACTCTATCAGAAGTTTGATTTAAAAAATAGTATACAAATTCAAATTTGATAGTGTTTCTTTAAATTGGAGTTGCTCAGATTAATCCCTGTAAACTTTCCTGGAATTGTACTCTTAACAGGAACACCAGAAATTCCCTAGCAAATCAGAGTTATTGCCCACCAAGTCCGTTTTCCTGTCTCTGCCAGTGGTCAGTACCCAGATGTTTCACAGGAAGCTTCAAGAAACTCTGCAATGGACAACTATGGAATAATCTGCCCCAAAGATAAAGCTTCTTCTTCACCATGTTAGTGGTCCATGTCTGTTATTTCATATCTGTCAGAAGTTCATATCTGTTATTTTTTAACCTATCTGTCATAACTGCAGGTATTCTCATTTTATATAGAAATGTATAATGCTTTTTTGAATTTTGCAGACATCTTGGTCTCAATCATATCTTGGGGCACCGAGTTCCACATGCAAATATTCACAATGTATTTAAATATTTATTTTAATCAGTTTTAAATTGATTGCCTTTCAGTTTCATTGGATGTTTCCTTGTTCATGTATTATGAGAATAATGTACCCCTCCATTCACTATTAAATATTCATATCGTGTCTACTTGCTCATCTCCTCTTAACTGAACAGTCCTAATTTTCAACTTGCCTCACATGTAAGACTTTTGGTGTATGCCAACACAATGATAAAAAACCTGTAGCCTCAGAGCCTGGGTCATTTGATATGGGCTCGTGGGGCTCAGGCTTTGGGATTTTTACTGCAGTGTAGACATTTGGGCCCGGACGTTTGGGCCCTCAGCTCTCGGACTTCCTCCTATGAGACACATGAAGGGAGCTTGGAGAGAGGGAGAGCTGAGCAGCTGGCTGTGGAAGAGAGAGTTTCAGTCACTGGCCCATTTCCCTCAGCCCCATACTTCTAAGTTTGCCTGAAGGAAGAAACAAAAATGGCCAACAGAAAATTACTGCTGAGAAAATAAGCCAGGCACCAGACTCTAGGAGAAAAGATGAAGGGGTAGAGGGAACATGTGGACTGTAGAGATGGGAAAGGCAGAGAGTACTGATGGACTGTAGGGAATAAGGGGATTAATTATGGGGGCTCAGATATCGTGGAGTTGGGCAGAGTATGAAACCTTTTCAGAACAGAATGTAGATGGATGAAGGAGAATTGCTTCACTGTATGAAAAGAAAAGGAGGACTTGTGGCACCTTAGAGACTAACCAATTTATTTGAGCATAAGCTTTCGTGAGCTACAGCTACAGCTCATCCGATGCAGTGAGCTGTAGCTCACGAAAGCTCATGCTCAAATAAATTGGTTAGTCTCTAAGGTGCCACAAGCCCTCCTTTTCTTTTTGCGAATACAGACTAACACGGCTGTTACTCTGACACCTGTATGAAAAGAGGAAAGTGAAGAAATATGCGGGCAGCACGATGGATGAGAATATTAACTGATGGTAGGATGCATGGAATGCCGGGGATATAACTGATACAGTGATAGGGCAATTTTTGGATTTTTTTTTTTGAAAGGGAAATTGTGGGAACCCACTTTGATTTATTAAGCAAATTATATGAAAGTTTCATGCAATTTTCACCCTCAGGCTTTTCTGCCAAGCCCACGTAGACAATTCTGACATACTCTGTAGTCAAGGGCCATGAAGGTTTATGTAGCATTCTATTCCTTTCAATGACACGCTTGAACATGTCACTTTGCTAGTGGCCATACTCTGTGAGCACCCACTGATGTCATTAGTGTTCAATTCTGTCCAATGCTGATTATCTAGACTGCTTTTTGGATGTTTAATAGTTGGTTTCTGGAACTCAAATATGCTTATTCTTGCTCTTTGAAAAGTGACAAGCTATGAAAATCCTGATACTGGTAAAAGTCAATGCTTTGAATGCTTCATTGACAGAGCTTAACAGGAGATAAATTTGATGTTAATCAGTTACCAAACTGGTTTATCTACTGGTAGTCTAAGGTGGACGTTATCTGCCCCATCTCATGGAAGACAAATCCCATATATCTTAAAATGGCTAGCTAAAATGCAGAAATCCCAGAACTATTCATGTGGTTTTATTCACATGATATAGTTTGTACCTTTTGTGTGTTTTTCACTATATTTGTTTGTTTATCTTCTTTTGCACTTTTAAAAAAGAGTGATATAATCTTTTTAGCATACGTCTTCACTATGGCATTAAGTCTGGTTATCTACACTTGAGCTGGCCTAACTCAACTGAGTGGGCACACTGACAAACTGAACATTTGAGGTATGCAGAGTGATTCTGAGAGCAGCTAAGGAGTTGTGCTATTGAGCTGCGTTAATTCGAGCTGCGACCTAGTTTGAGTTAAAAGCACCACCACAGTCAAAATTTAATGGTTTTCGTGTGTGGCCAGGACTTGAATTTGGGGCAACACCTGAGTTCACTCTGAAGTAAAGACAAGCCCACATATTTATACTAACTACAGTATTTAGGATTAGCTCCATTCTGTACTTTATGAACAAAAAAAATGTACACTCCAAAGAAATCTATATAGACTATGTGATAAATATTTAGATTTTTCTGAGTCTGCCAAGAGTACATTGACTTTAAAAAAGTCATCACCCCAAGAAAATGAAACACTTAAAAAGACTACAAAGATTTCAGTTTTATACCTTAAATACCTGCTTCTCCCAAAAGCGATTAGTATATCAAACACCACCATTGCAAAAAATTGTACTTACTTGTATTTTAAGAGCAGCCACTGAATTAACCAGAGTCCTACAAGGATCATGCCATTAATTTCACAAATAGAAAAGGCCCATTGTACACGGTTAAAACGGTCAAAAAATGCATCTGGTAGGGGACGCTGCACCTCCTTGGGAGGCACTCGTTCATGAACGACTGAGATTGTCACTGTGGTAAAGATGAAACAAAAAAGTGCATAAAGAAAAGCCAGTAAAGTCTTCCCCCACTCCATAGGATACTGGGAACGCTCTGGCTCTGGCATGGGGATCTTTATCATCTCCTTCCTATATCCATTTGGCATCCCATTCAATTTGATTTTAGTGCTGAAATCATTTTCACTCGTGGTGACATCTGTACTGATGCTGAGGTGCCCATTGGCATGCCCATTTTTGTGCGCCTCAATTTGGTGCTCCATTTTTAAAGTTTCTATCATGTACAACAACCTCTGCCCACTGTCAGAAGACACACGTGACAAAGGTGGCTTCTTAAAATCCTCCTTAGTTAGATTGATCAAATCCTGCCCAGTGTAAAATTCCAATGGTTCACAGTATTCTGGCACAGCATTCTCCATCAGCCAATTTGCCACCTCTTTGGGTGACCAGATTGCCACTTCTTTCATTTTGTCAGGCAAATGCATGCAGTCTTAAGTTTACTTTAAACCAGGCAGCAGTTGCTATTGTTCCAATATAACAAAAAGCCTCTTTTTGGCTTGTTCATCCTGTCAGATGTGCAGCAAAAACCAGTTTGGCAAGTTGACAAGTACAAGTTTCTAAATACTTTGTACAAATACCAATATACGGTGGTCAGTCCAGGAAATGGTTCATCTTTTTTGCATTTATACTCTTCTTTTCTAGTGAGAAAAAAAAATAAAAGGTGTTAAGACAGTGGTAACCAGTAAGTTTGCGTTTTATGTTCATAAGAAAAAAATAGCCCAAAGAAGCAATATCTAGATAGGAGCATGAAGAAAGAAGTACCTTTTAAAATTCAGACAAATGCATATGACTTTTCTTTTCAAGTTTGTTTCTGAATACTCAAGATAGTTACTAGTTTGATCTTCTGTATCATTTTAACAGTTAATATAAAGTTGTCTGGGGCAGGGAACCTCTTTTTGTTCCATGTTTCTACAGCACCTGGCACAATGGGGTCCTGGTCCAGAACCAGGCCTCCTCGAGCTAGGTAATACAAATAGTAAAATCATTACCTGTTCATCCATCAACTGTGTGATCTTACTGATGTAGCTCCTGTCCTCTTATACCCCTTCCATACTACTGTATGTTATGCTCATTCTTTGGAGTCTGATCCAAATCATGCTCATCTCAAGATGCTTTCACAAGATTTTAGCTGTAAGTATAGGTAGTCGACTGATGATGTGAGATTTCAACCATGTTAAAGATTAAAAATCACAAGTTTTTGGTCCGACTGAAATCTGAACTGGAAAAATAGACCCTTCCAGTTTTAGATTCAACATGAAATCTAAGCAGATAGAGTGGTTTTAGATCCATGATGTAAATATTAACTGTCCAAACTTTGCAATAGTTCTGATATAAAGTTATGGTTTATTATAATTTGTAATTTTAACAGTACATACTGACTTAATTTTAAATAATCAACAAAATAAAATGTACAGTACAAAGCAAAATGCAAGCTATAAGTCATAGAAATGTAGGGCTGCAAGGGTTCTCAAGAGGTTATCAAGTCCATTCCCTCCAAAGCTGAAGCAGAACCAAGTACACTTACACCATCCCTGACAAGCGTTTGTCCAACCTGTTCTTAAAAACTTCCAGCGACAGGGACTCTACAAACCTCCCTTGGCATCCTATTCCAGTACTTAACTATCCTTACAATTAGAAAATTATTCCTAATATCTCACCTGAATTTCTCTTGCTGCGAACTTAGCCGATTGCTTTGTGTCCTACCCTCAGTGAACATGGAAAACAATTGACAACCATCCTGTTTATAACAACTGTTTACATATTTGAAATCTGTTACATTGCCCCATAGCCTTTTCTTCTCTAGACTAAGTATAACCAGTTCTTTCAACCTCTCCTCATAGGTCAGGTTTTCTAAATCTCATATTTTTGTTGCTCTCCTCTAGTCTCTCTCTCCAATTTGTCCACATCTTTCGTAAAGTGTGGTGCCCAAAACTAAACAAAATACTCCAGCTGAGATGCCACAGCCCAGTGCCAAGGTGAGTAGAGTAGAACAATTAACTCCCATGTCTTACACACCTGTCTTACACACATCTGACACACCTGTTAGTATATCCCAGAATATTTACCGTTTTTTTGCAATTGCATCATATTGCTGGCTCATATTCAGTTTGTGATCCACTATAATCCCCAGACCCTGGCCAGTTGTTACTCATTTTGTAGTTGCACATTTGATTTTTCCTTCCTAAATGAGTACTTTGCACTTGTCTTTACTGAATTTGTAAGCTTGTATGATTCAACTCAGAATCAATACTATGCTTCACATCTCAGCTCTTATAAATGTTTACAGTGAAAACAAGAATACATTTATTATCAAAGATTTAAGATTAAAGGGACTGTAAGTAAAAATACTGGAAACAAATGGTTATATATGAATCAAAATCATAATACACTTTCTAGAGACTAAACTTAACTAACAGGTTAACCTCCTGTCCAAAGAAGCTCACCTCTGCAGAGTTTTCAACCAAGTCTGCCTATGGTCCTGTTTTCATCAGTGTAAATGTGATGTCAGTTTACTTCCTAAGTACAGGATAAAGGGGTGTCTGTTTGCCCCTTAGATAGAACCCCAAAGTTCATTGTCTTTACTCTTAGACAGGATAACCCCCTGTAGTTTGTTTTCTCCTGTGTGCTATTTCCTGTTGATTTCACGTCTCTTGGTTAGCATTTGACTCTGTACGTAAAAGGGCATCCACTGTGTTAGTATGTAAGCTAATCATTGTAAGCTAATAGAGAGACAGGTGAATTAACATCTCTTGTCTAACAAGAAACATGTTTTTTTACCTCTGCTGGTGACTGACATCTTGATTCAGACTGTAAGAATATATTTTCAGTATACATGCAAAAGTATCTGTACATATATTTCATGATGATATTAATAGCCAGTGTGACTCCGGCTTTTATTTGAGACCTCACATGATATTGTTTGGTGAACCAGAATGTATATACCAGAATCAGGAGATACCTGTCCCCTTCTATATTCCCTTGATGGGTGGCATTAAGAGGTTCTTGGATCACAGAAGACGCTATTGCAACCAGACGTAACCACTCTTAAAAACATAAAGGAGTATGTACAGGCTAAAACCATGTGATAGATCAGCGTAACGGCAATTTTAGGGAAGTGGGTTTTGCCAAACATCCTGCTAGAATATATGCTAGAAAGCAAACTTCTCCAAAGAGTAGGAGAAGAGTTGCATAATCTATTACAACCTGCTGAGTAAACAGTATGCTTTTAAAAGTTATCTAAAGATATACTAGATTAATAGTTTATGGAAAAATAAATATTTACATATTTTTCACGGGGCCTCTTTTCTCAATGCCAACATTAAATCCACAAATACTCCATGCTGCTAGTAAAGTAGATAGGACTGGGTGATTCTGAGTTGCTGCAAAAACTGCATCTGAAATTCATGGCATTCTGCCTGGGTATTGCTGCTCATATTTTATGAGAACTCTCAAACCTCTTGTCCAAATGCAGAACAAGAAAGCACTCCATGGTACCATCCCCCCATATGTATGGTCTATGTTTGCCACATAGCAAGGCCCAGTTTGGTAATTTCAGCTTCTTGATACCTACAGTAGCAGACTAAACAGTCTTCCATTGCATGATATAAAAGCTTCACAAAGGGTAAGGGAAGAAACATGGGAAAAGCAGGCAGGTAGGGATAGATTTTGAAATCTCTGGGGGGCAGGGAATGGGAACTGCACATTCAGGAAACCATTTGAGTTAATTGATTAATCTGACGCAGAGAAAAATAATCCACATTCACTATTTTTCTACAGATATGAACATTAACTAGATAAAGCCAGATGGACAGTTACTTGTTCCTTTAAGGGGAATCAGGGTCCAGTGTGCATTCTGAAGGTCCACCTGAGAGTAACTGACTGTGTCAGGTGGCTCCCTAAAGGTTAATTGGGGAAGAAAAGGGGATAGGGGAAATGTGGGAAACAGAAACAAGCCCATCGAACCCTCACCCTGATACGTCCTACCTCCCTACACCTGGACCTTCCGCCAAGCCCCCCTCTACCTCCGCCCCCACTAAGCCCAACCCGCTGCTCCAGGACCCTCACCCCATCAAGCCCTACTCCCCCAGCACCCAGATCCCCTCCACTGAGCCCCCCATATCCAGACCCCCCTGCCAAGTTCAATCTCCCCACACCTCCCTGCTGAGCCCCAACCACCGTCACCTGGATCTCCTGCAGAGTCCCATTGCCCCTGCACCTGGAATCCCTCAATAAGCCCCTGTGCATCCAGATCTCCCAATAAGCAACCCACATCCAGATTGCCCCACACAGAAACCTCTCACCCCACATCTGGATCCCCTACACACTTGAATCCTGCTGGGATAAGCCTGCCCACCCAGACCTGGTATGCCTGGCGCAGAGGGACAGGGCCCTAGGGTGTTTCTGGGGCAGGCCCAGCCCTTGCACTGTGTCAGGGGCAGATGCAGCCTCACTGCCGAGTCCCTGTACTAGGGGAGGTGGGGGTTTCAGAGTAATCTCCCACCTCAATGCAGCCAGTGGCCTGTGGTCCCCACTGCCACGCTGGAGCCACATTTATTTATTGACAAATAAAATTTGCAGAATTTTAAAATATTGTGCACACACTTTTTGGCGCAGAATATTTAATTTTTTGGCACAGAATTCTCTCAGGAGTATATATTGCATTAGTAATGCTCTGAGTTATTCTATCCCCATTAGAGTTAACGTTACACCTTTGAGAATTAGGTTGTCTGGAAAAGTAAGTTTATTAAATCAAGTTCTCATACTTTTGGGACTTACACAGCTTGCATCTTCCACTCTCTGGAAACAGGCTTAATCTCCCAGGCTTTGCTCTTAGTGTCAAACACACTTTCAATCTGCCATACCTTATTCTTAAAAGGAACAACTCCCATTAAGCAAGTGCAAATAATAAATGCAGCTGTAAAGCCAATATTAACACAAAATCCACATCACTTTAAATGCACATCACTTCTACGGGTCACTTTCCTCATATCCCACTGAGGAATACACTAAGAAACTGCATCATCTACTCAGAACACTCCCTACACTAAGACAGGAACAAATCAACATACCCTTAGAGCCCCGACCAGGGCTATTCGATCTACTACCCAAGATCCACAAACCCGGAAATCCTAGACACCCCATCATCTTGGGCATTGGCACTCTGAATGAAGGACTGTACGCATCTGTGGACTCTCTACTCAGACCCTACGCCACCAGCACTCCCAACTGTCTCCGTAACATCACTGATTTCCTGAGAAAACTACAAAGCATTGGTGATCTTCCAGAAAACACCATCCTAGCCACCATGGATGTAGAGGCTCTCTACACAAACATCCCACACACAGATGGAATACAAGCTGTCAGGAACAGTATCCCTGATGATGCCACAGCACTGGTTGCTGAGCTCTGTGACTTTATCCTCATGCACAATTATTTCAAATTTTCTGACAATATACACCTCCAGACCAGTGGCACCGCTATGGGCACCCACATGGCCCCACAATATGCCAACATTTTTATGGCTGACCTGGAACAACACTTCCTCAGCTCTCGTCCACTCACGCCCCTTCTCTACCTATGCTACACTTATGACATCATCATCACCTGGACCCTCGGAAGGAAACCCTGAAAGAATTCCACCACGATTTCAACAGCTTCCACCCCACCATTAACTTCAGCCTGGACCAATCTACACGAGAGGTCCATTTCCCAGACACCACGGTGCAAATAAGTGACGGTCACATTACCACCACCCTATACCAAAAACCCACCGACCACTATGCCTACCTTCATGCCTCCAGCTGCCAGCCCAGACACACCACACAGCCAAGCACGGAGGTACAACCGCATTTGCTCCAACCCCTCAGACAGAGACCAACACCTACAAGGTCTTCACCAAGCATTCTCAAAACTACGATACCCGCATGAGGAAATAAGGAAACAGAACAACGGAGCCAGACGTGTACCCACAAGCCTCCTGCTGTGAGACAAGCCCAAGAAAGAAACCAACAGAACTCCACTGGCCATCACATACACTCCTCATCTAAAACCTCTCCAACGCATCATCAGTGATCTACAACCCATCCTGGACAACGATCCCGCACTTTCACAGGCCAGTCCTCGCCCACAGACAACCCGCCAACCTGAAGCATAGTCTCCCCAGCAATGACACACCACACCATAGTAACTCTAACTCAGGAACCAATCCATGCAACAAAGCTCGATGCCAACTCTGCCCACATATCTACACCAGCGACACCATCACAGGACCTAACCAGATCAGCCACACCATCACCGGTTCATTCACCTGCACGTCCACCAATGTAATATAAGCCATCATATGCCAGCAATGCCCTTCTGCTATGTACATCGGCCAAACTGGACAGTCCCTATGTAAAAGGATAAATGGACACAAATCAGATATTAGGAATGGCAATATACAAAAACCTGTAAGAGAACACTTCAATCTCCCTGGACACACAATAGCAGATTTAAAGGTAGCCATCCTGCAACAAAAAAACTTCAGGATCGGACTTCAAAGAGAAACTGCTGAGCTTCAGTTCATTTGCAAATTTGACACCATCAGCTCAGGATTAAACAAAGACTGTGAATGGCTAGGCAACTACAGAAGCAGTTTCTCCTCCCTTGGTGTTCACACCTCAACTGCTAGAAGAGGGCCTCATCCTCCCTGATTGAACTAACCTCGTTATCCCTAGCCCGATTCTTGCTTGCATATTTACACCTGCCTATGGAAATTTCCACATGCATCTGACGAAGTGGGTATTCACCCATGAAAGCTTATGCTCCAATGCGTCTGTCAGTCTATAAGGTGCCACAGGACTCTTTGCTGCTTTTACAGATCCAGACTAGCATGGCTACCCCTCTGGTACTTTAAATGCAATGTTTAGCAAGATAAAATTACAGCAAGAACTCCTGGGTCCTTATATTAACTTTCATACATGTATGTTTTTTCCCCACTCCCCACGAATCAGCAGCAAAGTCTGAACTCACAAACTTCAGAACCATAGCACAGATTTCTTCTACTTCAACAATAAGAGTAATCTGTATTGAAAAAGCATGCTGAACTCCTCTTAGGGTGACCAGATAGCAAGTGTAAAAAATCAGGACAGGGGGTGTGTGATAATAGGTGCCTATATAAGGAAAAGCCCCCAAAATCTGGACTGCTCCTATAAAATCAAGACATCTGGTCACCCTAACTCCTCTGTATGGCCCAGCCCATACAGTGAGCCAACACACCCAGTAGGTTACGCAAATACTTGTAAGGTGACACTGAAACTCTAGGTATTAGGATTTTTGGTTCACTTCCTGGCTCTGGGAGCAAATTTTACGGACAGCATAGCCAGTTGTACCACCTCCTGCATTTGCATCATCTGCAGCGGCTGAATCTGGCATCTTTGGATGGAAATGCATAAGCTTCTTCCACTTAAGCTAGAGGGCCAGATCTCTTTGTATGAAAACTGCAGTGGAGTCATAAACCTCTGTATACGGTTTAGCTGCTAAAGGGTGACTGAACCACACTCATCTAAGCATCAAATTTGCCATGTTCCTTCTGAACTATTGTGTGGCAAAAGCAATTAGACTTGGCTCAGTTATATCAGAAACTCTAATTCTATTCTCAGTTCTGCCCACAGTGGGTGAATGAGGTTACCTTCTGCAAGGTCTTGGTTATCCAATTTGGGAAGTAGGTGAATAATAGCCTTCCCTCAAGACAGCACTCCTTGGTTTATAGTAAGGCTTGTGGTGTGCACAAAAGATGCAGCAAGCAATAGAAGAGCTGGGACTAGAACTCATGGTACCTGGACTTGCAATCTAGTGCACTTTTCCGTAGGTTACAAGCACTGTGGGGGAGTCAATTTCTCTCTTATTTTGCTTCCTCAAAATCATGCAATGGCCTGAACTTGGCACATCAGCAAGACTGCTTGCAGCAGGAGCCGAATCTCATGACTCAGGATAAATCTGAGAGAGTTGGCAACACTGACCAAGGTTGCCAAGAAACACAGCAAAATATCTAAGAACTGAAACCAGCCCGTCTAACTCCAAGTCTCATGCCTGAGTACAAGATCACCTGTTCCTCATTCTTGTTTTATGTTTTCATTCTCTCAGTGAAGTCCTTTCCTATCAAGGCAACAATCATTACAGAAATTAGTAAAGTAACTAATAGCCAATTCAAAGCTGTGAATAGCTATTAACCAATAGCCATGCAGTTTTGAGCTTTCACTTTTATTTTTAAAAAGCTTAATATCTGCACAGGCAGTAACAAAGTATTTCTTAAAACAAAGCTTAAAACAAAGTATTTCTTAAAATAAAGTCACCACCTACATTATATACATTCTAGGACTGCACATTAGCTTGCGGTTTTAGTGACATTACTTTTATTGTTAAGATCCAACAGTAAGTAATCAAAAACAAACAAAAAGTCTTCCAGAAATTGAGTTTATCTTCCTTTAGCAAACCCTGTTTTTGAAGCCTAGTCAAGTCGACAGTGTCTATATAATAAATATTAAACAAAAAGAAGTCAAAGAAGTTACTGTAACAGTCTGAATATTAATCAGTGATAGATTTTTGTGCCTAAAATATATATAACCAAAACTATCACCAATGCTGGCATGAAACAGTTTGCCTTAGTACTTAGGCTGTAAACTCTTTGGGGCCAGGACCGACTCTTTTGCTCTGTATTTGTATGACTATCATTGTGGGGTCCAGTCCATGACTAGAGTTCCTAGACACTGCAGTAATACAAATATTAACAACAGTAACACCAGTACCATTCCACTACCTCAGCGGTAATATATCAACAGGCCAACAAACGTACGTAAGATTAAAAAGAAACTAAGTTTATAGCCAGAGCATAAAACTCTAGTGTGTGCGTTTCCCATCAGGGAGAGAAAATTTATATCTACAGGGCATATTTCAAAATTGCTGCGACTCCTCCCAGGCAGCCTTGCCTCCCGTCATCTTGAGATTGTACCCTGGATGATTGGCAGCTCTCAGGCATACTGATTATATAACAGAAGGCTTTAAAACATTACAGTAAAAGTTTGAGTTGGTTTACAGCACTGCAGGCATCACCAAATGTTGAGCACAAGACTCTTCAGCAATTGTGCTGTTGTATTTTGAGACAGTTGCAACCTCTGAGTAGATTCAAAGCAGCGGTTCTGGAACTAGGGGTGCAGCAGCACCCCCTGGCTTGAAGTGGTTTCCATCATATACAGGGCTTGGAGTTTTATTCTATAGCTTTCAGCACCCCCACTATAAAAATTGTTCCACTGCCATTGATTCAAAGGGTAGCCCGTGGGGGGAACACATTGTAATAATCAGATTAGAGGTAATAAATACCTGAATTACAGTGACGAAGTTCACATTCTGAATGGAAGACTGCAATGGAAGATAAAAAGATACTCTCAACACAGTTGAAACAACTTAAATGTTCACCTTTGGAAAGAAAAAGGATCTTTAATATCACCAAAAAGAAAAGGAGTACTTGTGGCGTCTTAGAGACTAACAAATTTATCTGAGCATAAGCTTTCATGAGCTACAGCTCACTTCATCGGATGCATTCAGTCTTTCTGCGAATACAGACTAACACGGCTGCTACTCTGAAACCTTTAATATCACCTTAACTGATCAGCACATCTTTAACATTCCAGGGAGAGAAAAAATATTTTCTAAACTACTAATATAAATCCACCCACAGTTGAAGAATTCAGTTAAAACCTATACATTTAAACGGTAACACAAACAGAATCACACAGAGATAAATGACACAGGTGAGAAGAACTGAGTTACAGTTACACTGATACCTTAGTTATGTCAGATTGATAGTAGCTAAAACAATTATCTTCAGGTGACATTTGGGATATATGATAAATAGTTATCTAATAAATGCTTTTATAATAACAATCATTCTTTGCATTATTTATGAAAAACTCAAGGATGAAGATCTCTTTCATTCAAACCTCATTTGTCTCATTTCCTTCCATTCAGTTCTTCTATTCATACCCATAAAACTAGTTTATCTACGTAACTTTTCCTCCTCTTCTGCCTGCTTCTCTGAAGTAGTTATGGAGACACTAACAAACATTATTGTGCTAGGCTTTCACCTGACCCACAATTTTGTTAACCAAATAGTTGCTAAGCCTTTGTTATGTTACTATGGAAATACCACTTTATCTGATTCACTATTGACGAATACAATCTGGGCTAACAAAAAATATACCGTACATTGCCAGTACACATTATCAGCACAATACATATATCAGTATGTATTGTGCACTTAATAGTAATAGAACAGCAGTTAAATATAACAGCAGTTATATAGCCTAAACCCTTGCTCACTTACGCTAAGTATCCCATAACTCCTTGCATTCACTGAAGTAAGTTATAGCTTGAGCAAATAGGGAAGCTATCAAGATCAGAACAAATGAATGTTTTACGAGAGCAAAAGGAAAGGGTCTTACTCTCATAGGCCTGTACTGGAATGTCCCAAAGAAAGAGGTCAAGATATATGATTTTACTACCTTAGTACAGACCTAAGAGGAGTCTTCATGTCCTTTGGGACCTGGAATACATGTGTTCAGAACAAAGAGATAAAGGGTACAACATGGTACCACAAAAACAGGTAGAAAGGCTGGTTAAATCTAGTTTCAGATGACGTACACAGTATTTTTACTTGTAAACAGGTAGGGTATAAAAAGATGGCTTTAGGGGAATAACTTTGGGAGCACACCTGCTATGTGCTGCACGGGACAGCTTCCCAGAGCCTGGTATCATACTGAATCTTTTTCCTGTACTCTATTATTATTGGCTTGTAGCAATAAACCTGACTGATATTAGTTATTTGGTCTCTTGAATACATTTCCTAACAAATTAAGTGTAATCCAGCAATTGACTACGTCATTTATCAACACTGTTGAGTTTTCCTAACAAATTACTTTCTTCCCACTGTACACCAGAAATCAATTGTGTTTTCGCATAATATATATAACCAATATTCAGACATCACTCTCTATTACATAAAAGAATTGAAAGAATATTAAAGATTTAAAATCGAGTACTCAAAGCTAGGACATGCCTGAATTAAGGGTTGCCTGTGTATTCAATCCCCTTGTGTGTATGCATTAAGAAACAGCGTTCAATTACATGATCACACACTTCCCCCCACTTCCCACACACAGAAACCTTGGCTCCTACATTCAGCCTTTCTCCTGTAATAATGTATTGCCAATTCTTGCATATTTATCACAAGTCACAACATTCTGAGAGATAAATGAATTTCTGATTTTTATTTTCTCTTGCTCAGGATTTCCATCACCTCTCATTACTATCAATAAGACTGAAGCCACAGACTGCCCTCAATAAAATGACTGACAGGACTCTTTAATCTTCGCAAGTGCAGCTAAGGCTCCCCTTAGCAAAGATGGTCACCTCCCATTGTTTCCAGTGAGGCTGAAACCAGGCTACTTTCAGGTAAGATGGTGGTCCTTTAGGTACCATGTGAGGGGACAGGAGAATGTGGAGGTGCTGAGAATGAAACTGTGGAGGCAACAGTTAGCATAAATGTGTTGGGAAATGGAACAGGTCACTGAAGAGTTGGGCATGTAAGGAGCAATAGACAAACTAAGGAAGGCACATGGGAATGGAGTATGGACGAGAGGGTAGGAGATGGAAGGAAAAGAGAGGGAAACATGGAGGGCAAATGCATGTACGAGCAGGTGGGGGACAAGAGATTGTGGGGAAAAGTGAGTGGGACAGCTGCTTATCCTGTCCAGGTAGAGAAGGGGAAAGAATGGCAGCTCCCCACATGCTAGGTATAGAAGCTAAAGCCTGCTCCAAGTAGTGAACATTATGGGGGTGGAGTGGAGGGAATGCTAGGATGGGAATCCCAGCTACTGCCTTTTTACCCCCAAGGCACAGCCATGAAACATAGGGAGGCTTTTACCCTACAGCAAGGAAAATCCATGTTTAGTTTCTCTCTCAGTCTTTTCCTGACCTTGTTGGACCTACATACTGTGTGACAAAACCAAAGCATTTATGCTGTGCCAACCATCACAATAATGAGGTATCTGCAATACCAGGCACAGGTTGTGTGATAGCAAGTAACTAATTTACAGTAACTACCTTGATGTTTTCAAGTTTACATCACTAAATTAAATGTTATTTAAAAGATCCTGAGATAAAATGAGCTGAAATCTAGGCTATTTTTGAACAGTTGAAATATGCAACCCATCTTCCACATCAATACAGCCATGCATAATAGACTTAAGCTTATTTTAAGAGGAGTGAAATTGACACAAGACTAACATAATACTCTTACACAAAGAAGTCAATTTAAGGTTGCGTGGCCAGCCTGAACACTGGTATTTCCTAATTTTTGAGTGCTTGATTTAGTGATTGAGTGCTTTTTTTAGATTCTTCCTCAGAAACAACTGCTAACAGCAGTAGACTTCCTTCCTATATGTGGACAAAGCCACTGGAGGATGACAGACTTTACTTGTAACCTTGTGAAACTGCTCATTTATCTGTAAAAAGTGGAAAGCAATATTTGCCTGCCTCCCTGCCTCCCAAGTCTATGGATATAAGGTCTTGCTGAATAATAAAGGATATGAATTACACAGGTACCTATACATACAACAGCTAAGACTAGAACTCACAGTCTTCTCCTGATGCCCAGCACAGCATCATTTCCCATAGGCTAAAGGGGTGTCTGCTGCTGTGTCCTGGCCAGAGCTCAAGTTCTACAGAGCCAGGAGGCATGCTCAGTGCAGAAGGAGGGTCAGTGATGCTGGAATATGCTCATTGCAGAGCAACTGTCCGAGGTTTTAGCAGAAAGCCTCTCAAAACATCTACCAATTATGTGCAAATGGCAATTTTTGAGGCTTATACCTTACCCAAATCTGGTTGAATTTTCATGGAGACAATGAAAGACCCCAGCAATAGCCCCGTCAAGATTCTAGTTTTCATTCAAAACCATGGAGAAGCTGGAGTTCAAAGAAGCAATTGAAAAAAATTAACATTACCAAAACTCTCCCTTCCCCAAAATATACCTCTTTCTTGGAAAGGGCTGCACTTTGTCCGAGAATTTCAGCCAGAAGCAGAGAGCGAGAACAGAAAGCTTCCACCCAAACAGTTAAAATTTGGCGAAATTACAAGTAACCTAAAACAGAAGTGCTTACCATAGGAAGTGTTAGGCAACCTTAAATACATGTGTGTCACTGCTAGCTCCACTATAATAGCATATCTGAGGTGTGAGGCTGTATGGAATATTGGAGACTGTTTATAATATTAATGTTACCAATATTATAAAATTGCAAGGAATCTGACCAGATATGCTGTGTAAGGTATCTGTGAAAATGCTGTTTTCCCAAGTATGATGATCTTGTTTATGTTTGTATCACCTTTGTATTGTAAGTTATAGATATGTATGATATTCATATTTCCAAAATTGTGCTTTGTTTCTGGGTGACATCCCACAGACAGATTGGCATCAGCAATGCCTAGCATCAAGCGTAATCAGCTGTACAATAAACCCATTGAAAGGAGCCAGGGTATACACCTTATGACTCAACAGGACTTGTAGGGGCATGCCTATGGACAGAAAACTTTTGCATGCCCATGTGCTGTATAGCCTGTATTTGGGACACAGGAAGTACAAGCCACATGGCAAAAGGAATATAAAAGGCAGCTGCGCCATCTCCATTTTGTCTTCATTCCTGCTTCTTACCACTGAACTACTTTTCTACAAACTGAAACTCTGAACAAAGGACTGAATGAACCATCCAAGCTGTAGATGTGTTCCAGAAGGACTTTCAAGCTAGCAAACTCACCAACACTGCTAAGAACCTGATATATGGACTTTGAAGTCCCTGTATGTATCTGATTGCTTTACCATTTAACAACTCTCTTCTTGTTCTTTTTTCTTTATAATAAACCTTTAGTTTTAGACACTAAAGAATTGGCTGGCAGCGAGGTATTTTGGGTAAGATCCAACCTAATATTGACCTGGCAATTTGGCTGGCCCTTTGTGGTTCAGAAGAACATTTTGTAATGAGCCGAGTTTTTTTAATAACTTCCCATTGCACTGGACTGAGGTGCTGACTGGGAGCCAGAGAACTGGAATGCAATAATGGGGACTGCGTGATTTCTTTTTTTAGATTCTTGATAACCAGTGTGGGGAATCAGGAACACAGTTTGTGACTGGCTGGTGAGTCTGACTTCAGTGTTCTCCACCAGTTTTGGTAGAATCTGCTCTCATTTTGCAGCCTGCCCTGACGTTGGCATTTTCAGTGAGGGCAGCCCAGGCACCCCTGTGTCAACTGTGGTTTATTTAAAATATTATTTTATTGTATTATTTGGGAAATAGTATGACTATGTAATAAAACACTTATATGCATTATGAAAATGAAATCAAACTACCAGGTTTCTCTGTGGTTTATTTACTTATTGAAAATTTGGCTAATAATTATCTGCACTTACGTAAGCATTGTATCTAATTAACATAGAAGGTAACACACTATTGATACCAGCTATCTGATAGTTTGGAGGGGTGAGGCGCATATCACACCATCAATAAACCCCTGTGTAAATTGAAAATAAAGGGTTTTTCCCTTAATTGCTTGTGAATGATTGCTGTCTTACTGATACTGAAAATGAAACTTCTTTAAGTATCTATAGAAGAAAATGGTTAGATGCACGTATAGTTTCTCAAACCAGAGGTGAGATCATTGCCCAAATCCATAACTGTCTGCAACTTTGCAATCTCCTTCCTTTCTCCCTTGGAGAGCATTATTCTGTCAATCACATATGAAAAAAAAAATTCTGAACAGCAGCACAGCGTACAGCGAAAGCAGTCGAGCTAGGCTGCAGACCCAGTATTTTTATTAAGGTAATTTCCTAAATGTTAGGGAACTAGCTAGTGCCTGAGGAGAAGCTGTGCTTATTTTGTAAATTAGGCAGAGTCTTAAAAGTAAAGATGGACTGCAATGCTGTGGAGTCTGTTCAAGAAACTCCCAGGAAGCCAGGACTTTTACACAGACAGGTCATTGATTACCTACAAAACTGAAAACTGTATGGTGAATGACTGGATAAATGGACACAACTAAAAAGCTTTCATTTTTACAGCTTAAAAAATATAAAGTAAAAACTTCAAGAAAAAGTAAACACTGGAAACCTGACTACTGTTTCAGCTTTATCTAATTACAGATGCTAAAAGTACCTACACATAAATTCTTTGAGTTCCTGCATATATATATATATGCACTTGGTTTAAACAAGCCCTGGGAGTCACATGTAGCACATCACCACGTGTGCCACTGGCAGAATATTGAAACCTGTGAAAAAAATTCTGACCTGTACCTGGCCCAGTGACAACACAAAAAATACTTCTGCCAAGGTATCCTGTGCTGTAACACATATATATAAAAACTGAAACATCTGTCTAACCGTCTTCTGCTAACCATCCAGAGGCACTGTGTTTCTGGTGTTTACTTATGCATGTAGATAGTGAGGTAGGACCATATCTTCTTCTGTGTTCCACATAGGGGACTGCATACACTGTCCACACTCAGCAAATATATAATAATAATAATTATAATGTAGCAGCATATCTCCAACAATCTAATTTTCTTAGTTGTAAACTGCTGACTATACCCACACAAGCAAACAAAACATTATAACTGGCCCTTGATTTTCCCCGGAAGAGGGAGGGAAGAGCTGTGCAGTTAGAAGAATCTCAAGCCAGTAACTTAGGATATTTAATAATTAAAAAAAAATTATTCCAGACCGCTGATGTCATATCTGTCATCTAGAAAAATTGAATTATTAAAATTTCTCTCAGGTTCACAACAAGGTAAGTAAGAGCTTGTGTGGCGCCTCTGTTGAAAAGTATGGGGCTGCATCCCCCCCGAGTTTATATCTTTGCTCACACTAGCAAAGTGGTAAAGCACACATCTTGAGAGAAGAAGACAGCCACCTGACAAGTAGTAACTTTCCTGCACAGGACAAGCCCTGATGTGCCTTTCCAGGCTCAAAAGACCCTATGCAACTATTAGAAAAAGTATCGGGGGTGGCCGTGTTAGTCTGTATTCACAAAAACAACCAGGAGTCTGGTGGCATCTTAAAGACTAACAGACTTATTTGAGCATAAGCTTTCGTGGGTAAAAACCCCACTTCTTCAGATGCATGGAGTGAAAATTACAGATATAGGCATAAATATACTGGCACATGAAGAGAAGGGAGTTACCTCACAAGTGGAGAACCAGTGTTGACAGGGCCAATTCGATCAGGGGGGATGTAGTCCACTCCCAATAATAGATGAGGAAGTGTCAATTCCAGGGGAGGCAAAGCTGCTTTTGTAATGAGCCAGCCACTCCCAGTTCCTATTCAAGCCCAAATTAATAGTGTTAAATTTGATCTTCTGGACTTCCTGCTGGAAATGCCTGATCAAGTAGGAGGAGTGCATCAGGACATAATGTGGGAGTAGGGTTGCCAACACTATTTCAAAAACAAGGGACTGTTTTCTTAGCACCGCCCACCCCACCCCACTTCTCCTCTTGATATTATTATATTATTAATATAGTATTAATAATAAATAATAATAATAAGCAGTACTCACCTACATTTGCCAGGAGTAATTTCTTGCTGCTTTTTGCAGCACTCACCAACTCCCAGTCTTGTTGCACAGAGATTAAAAAAAATAAGGGACGTCCCTTGTAATAAGGGACTGTTGGAAATCCTGCATGGGAGTGAGATAAAAGACAGGAAATTAGGAAACTGCTTTTTTCTCAGATGCAAAAGAGGCTGGGGGAAGAAGAGAAGGAAGTGAAAAAAACCTGGACAAAATCAGCAAGAAGGAGATTAAACTTATTTAGTCAAGAGTGTTTAAAATATATCACATAAACAGATTTTATTTTAAAAACTTTAGTATGTAAGTAAAAAGGCAGAAAATCCTTAATTTAGCATAGCAAAAAGCCATGATTGATGGAGGGTCATCAACATTTGTGATGAGCTTCAGGCAATCTAAGTATCAGCAACATAAAAATGTTTGCCAAACGAAAAATAAAACATTTTGCTGAAGAAATAAATCTGATTATTAAGCTTACAAAGGAAAATGTAAAGGAAACTATGAATAAAAACTATCAAATGGTCTGTGAAATATGTACACTAATTCAAAATATTTTACAAAACCAGCCATAAAAAGTTAGTAGAAAAAAACCCTAAAAAAACAACAGTACAAACATGTACAATAGTCTTATCGCATTTAATGTTTATGACAAAATTAATTTTTTTTCTGCTACAAATTCATTAGTTGGTACCTCAAACAACTATTTCAGTAACAGAGAAAAAAACAGTATCCTCATTCAAACCACTCTTTCCTTATAACTAAGGCAAAAGCAAACAATTTCCTCACAGAATTGAACTTGCACAACTCACAGCCCGAGCCTCACAATGCTAACATTTATTTTCTCTTTTAAATTCAACTAGAAGAATAGGTGACACCCGTTCTTCCAAATGAAAATCTTCTGCAGTGTTTTTTGGACTGTATTGTGCTTAATAAAGCTTCATATGAAAGCAGATGTTCAAAGGATACGGTTTAATATTTTATGTAACAAATATTGTATTACCAGTAACATATTACTTTAAAAAGTAGTTTCTGGTGTGGAAGTTTGTAAACATCCACCGATCCATGCTACAGCGAGAAAGAGGCCAGGAAACAATACTCATTCCTAATTTCCAGCACAAATTAGAAACAATACTTGAACACAGATCTTCTCTATCATGTATTGAGTCACACTGAAAATTGGGTGATTTGGTCTGTATTTCAACTATCTTCTGCTTCAACAATTGGCAACTGTAAAGTTGTGGGTAGGGTAGGAAGAATCCTATTGCATGAGTAGTCTCAGACAACCAAAAATCCAGTTAAGAGACAAAAAATTAATTTCTGATAGACAACTGTTAATCCTTCATTTTCATCCTGGATGAAAAGACTAGAGTTTGATCTGCTGGCCTCTTGCCTCCACTTCCTAGTGAACATGACCAACCTGCAAAACAAATAGGCGCTTGCTGGGTTTGCTATTATACAGTTTTTTCAGCTACTTATGGTGTTGCCCCCTCCCGTCTTGGGAACAATGGGATAGCTCGTTTCTGCTCCCAACCTCCCTGCAACCACAGGCCTGGGAAAGGGCAGAAGAGAAGCCTGCCAGAGCTGCCCCCCAAAGGAGAGACGACCCCACCCCCACCCTCGAGCTGCAGGAGGAGCAGAACTGATGTGGGGACTGGGGATAAACGGATGTGGAAGCTGGGAGTCTGAATTAATTGCTGGCCTGGAGGGGTGGGGGGTAGGGGACACAATTAATTAGAATTTTGGGGAGAAGCTGGAAGCTCTGCACCATTAGGCAGTCAGTGAGAGCTCCAACCCAGGGGCCAAAGTTACTTTATTCAATACATTTACAAGAGTTGGCAACACTTACTGTCACACACATTGGAGGTGGGCAGAGGGAATTCCAAAAAAAAAAAAAATCAAGAGACAGACCAAAACACACAATGATAATCTTTTTTTAAAAATGTATGATGGGGGGGGGAGAATCTGACTCGATTTTTGAACTATTGGGCTTGGCAATACTATAGCTGAATTCCATATGGACTTTGGGAAGAGTTCACATTAATTATTATGTATATGCCTTCTCAAAGCACAGGATCCTGTACAGCAGTTCTTTCGTAGAGATTACATGAAACTGTGGCAAAATTAAGGCCAGTTTTCATTTTCAGTCTCAGGTGTTAGTCATGTTAGTCAGTCAGTGCAACCAGGGTTTTTAATTGTAGGTCAGATCAGATCACATGTTTTTTGCCCTTAAAAGAGAGAGAGACAACAAATATAGAACTCAATTTTAACTAACAACCTATGTAGAGAAATCACTCAGACTAGGACTATGGTGATTTAAAAATAAACCAAGACCATATTTAAGATGCAGCATTTCTTGTTACTTAGCTACAAATTATGTACAGTATGTAAATCTTAAACTATCTTAGATAAAACCAAAAACATGTAATTCAGTGGCTATCCATAAAAACTCACTGTCTGGCCACCATGGCAAAATGGCAAATTATGGTCAAGGTTAAGATTTTGTCACAGATAGGTTTACTAAAAGTCAAGGATAAGTCATAGGCAATAATACAGACTAACACGGCTGCTACTCTGAAACCAGGCAATAAAGAAAAATTCACAGAAGCCTGTCCCTGACTTTTACTAAAAATATCCATGATAAAATGGGAAGGTACTAGGCAGATGCCAAGTAGCAGGGAGTTCCAGCTCCCCCACCTGAGGCAGGGAACTGCGGGGTTCCCCCCTGCTGCTGGTGGGGGTCGGGGAGCTGTGGGGGTCTCCCCGGCTACCAGTGGAGGCCAGCGAACTCCAGGGGTCCCCCATGGCGCCAGAGCTGAGGGGTACCCAAGGGTGTACCTATTACAACACTGTTGTCCCCTGTTATGGTTTAAAAACATAATTCAGTGATACAATGTAGATGGATCTTAACCATGTGTTTATAATTTAAATTTAGCTTAAGCACATACATATAGGAACAAAACATTTCATTTCAAGTATTAAATTACTTCTACTTCTATGTCTCTATTTTCATGTCTCTTTATAGAGCAAGGAAACTGCTACTGGTATTTAATTTTGAATGTGTGATTCATGCAATTGCTTATGCAAAAGTACTTAAAAACCTAGAAACCCTGTTTTCTTTCTTGGGGTGGATGAAAATTAGACCACTAATGATATATCTTAGTTATATGTTCCTTAACATATTTAGTCTTCTTATGTCAATATTTACATCTTGATATTTAAAATGCAATAAAATTAAACACACGCACTGCCAGTCCTGACAACGATAAAACTCCTACTAACTTCAACGGAAGCAGGTTCAGACCCAAAATTTTCTACTGCTGAGTACAATACTCATGACAATTTGAAGACCTACAGAGATTCATAATTTATTTTGTTTCTCCATGTAAAGTCCAATACAGAGAAAGGTAGTCTAGATTTTAATTTCACATTTTCTATCCAAATTCACTTAAGTGTCTTCTGGCCGAAGGCTGAGTAACATTTCTGTGAAGTTTCGTAGATCCCAATCCACCTTTGATTATGCAAAATCACTGCAGTCTTACTTTCTATTCCAGCTCAGCATTTAACCATATGCACACACAACACTTTGCTTCAAAAGTGTGTAATAGTCACAGAAGAAATTAGTGTTTTCAATGTGCTTAATATTTCTACATGTCATGTGTTAAACAAGTTTTTTTTAAATTTGGAAGAAAATTTTAGACAATTGCACTTCCATGAAGGAAATAAATGGCCATTATGTCTGCCCCATGAGAGCAGTTAAATGATTTTCAAGGCCATAATCTAAATTGCCTGAAGGAAATAGAGCTTGTTCACTGAGCAGTCACAAAATCTGGGAAGCATTTCTTGTTTTAAGTATTAGTAGCAACATATTGTAAAGGTTACTGAGACAGTATATATGTATGAGATTTACACAAATAAAAAAAAGATACAGAAAACAGGATTTCAGACATGTTACTCATATCAACTATAGCACTGTTCTAGAAATTCTGATATTTTAATGAAACCATATAGAGATTAGCATTTCAAAATGAAGTTCTTCTATCCCTCACACATGTTTATTTTCTAACATCTGGTTGCCTACTTTTTCTTTTATCTTCTGTTTTACATAAAGGTATTGGAGTTGTCACCCAGGACTGTGAAAGAAATATTACATTTCTTCCTACAATATTTATAGAAGTATACATTAGCAACCTGTCAACTCCAGTTACTGATTCCATGGCATATGTTGTGTTGGGTTCTTCTCAACCATCATCCCTCTTTCAAATAATTACTTCATTATCTGCCATACGAAGAACTAAAGACTTTCTTTTTTCTGCAGCAGTAGTTTTTAGTCAGTGATGGTGTAACTTGTGTATTTTGAATACTTCACATTAAAGTCACCCAAAAGCTCTAGTGACAGCTAAACCAGAGATTTGCAATGTACAGTTGCAGACTACAGTTTAAAGTACAGTATAAAATACTACTAGATCTCACTCACTTGTCTCCCTACTGGCCTAGAAAGTAGGTTACATTCAAATAATTCCAGACTTAAAAAATGAAAAATACTCTTGGGACATAAAAAAAGAATGATACTTATCCTATTTCCATAAAATTGTTATAAACATACTCAAAACACAGAGCATTTCATTAAATGTCAATCAGCAGGTGGCTCAAATATTCTACAACTCTCAGTAATGAAAAATAGCTATTTTCCCTTATGTGCATTTGTAAATTTAAATACAATGCTTCTGAAGATTTATAAATGCTGTACCCTATAAACTGACACAGAAGCAACTGCTCTGTCCATAACCTTTACTGATTTAATATTTAAACCTGATAGACTCTAGTTACCCTATACCTGACTCCCGGCCTGTTTAAAAACACAATGTATAATTAGGGATCTTTGGAACATAATAGGTCTGATTTCTCTTCACTGATGAGGCAGCAGTAACTTCACTGAAGCTTAGGGTTCCCACCCTCCAGGATTGGCCTGGAGTCTCCAAGAATTAAAGATTAATCTTTAATTTAAAATGTCACGTGAAGAAATCTCCAGGAATATATCCAACCAAAACTGGCAACCCTACTGAAGCTAAGTCAGAGATAGTACAAAATTCAGAAATTGTTCATGAAATCTGCATACTTACAGTAACTGGGCTTGCTTTTTCCTTTCCTATATTTTAAAATTTGGAAGTTTACACCATCTGTAAAAGAAAATTAACACAAGGTTTTATTTGAACAGTTCAATGGTAATATTTCCTCTAAATTATTCTAAAATAGACTGTCTAAAATATGAAGTTTGTAGTACTCTAAATAATATTACCATTATAGAAAGCAATATCCCAATATTTTTTGCAATATTTCATCTGTCTTCCACATTATGATTTTCCATGACTAGGGCTATGATTTTGTCACGGAGGTCACGGAATCCGTGACTTCAGCCTTGGTGACTGGGAGCTGCAGGGTCCCGCCACCTCCTGCAGTAGCAGAGAGCTGTAAGGTACTCCCGACTGGGAGGCAGCGGGCCCCCAAGCTCCCAGGCACCCTGGACAGCGGGGGTACCCCAGCAGCTCCCTGGCCGCCGCCATGGGGTGGGGATACCCTGGCAGCTCCCCACTGCAGTGGCAGCAGGGGGATTCCCACAGCTCCCCACCACTGGGAAGGGGGTAGGGGGACTTTGCAGCTTCCCTCTGCCACTGGGGGCAGGGGATCCTGGAGCTCTGAGTCCCCATGGGTGGTGGGGGCCCCGGAGCGCCAAGCCCCCCCACAGCTGCCCTGTCCCTTGCACCAAAATAGTCTTAGTTCAAGTAAGACTATCCTATAAATAGGGCCCTTATGGAGGGCCCTTCATTTTTATTTTATTTTATTTTTCCCAGGAATTTATTAGTGTTTATTACCACAAGAACAAAAACAGGTGAAAATCAGTGCAAAAAACTACTGTTAATTTTTCTAGGTAAACATCAGCGTTTATTTTGGTGAACCGAAAGACAGGGGGAAAAGTATTCAGTAGATTAATGCTTTGAACTCCGAACATCAATGTGGTTTGCCGCAGAACTAGAACAGAACTCAAAACACAATTCCACCTCTAAGTTTAAGAAAACAATATCTCTCTAATCCCCAAATATGTTGGATCATATTAAAGAAGTTCTGAATTAAAATCACAAATGAGTTTGATTCCCCAGAGTTTAAATTCCAGGGTATTACTAATTAAGAGGTCTCTTGGTTTTTGGTGCTGTTTCTCTTCCTCTATGTGTGAAACTTGCAAGCTGCTAATTGTGTTAGTACATTCTAAGACTGAGTCTATTCTCAAAGCAATTCACAGAGAGAGAGACTCAAAGCAATACTCTAACAACAGAAACAGCACCCAGAGACTCCCCACCCTTTTGTTGTATTAACAATTGTGATTAAAATAGAGATAGAGGATGTATGTGGATGGATGCTTGGTGTGGATAATAACTGAATGATCAGGGAGGTGCCAGCCTAAGAATCCAGTGTCCATTGGCTGAAGAAGGCGTCAAGTGGAAATAACCAGAGGACCCCACCCGGAGGGCAGACTGGAATCCACCCAACAGCCTCAAGAATGGGAGAACCAAAGAACAAGATAACATCTTGGAGCCGTCAGGAATGTGCTATCTGCTGATTGATTCAGCAACAGCATGATGAAGCAATTCCCATAGACTGGCATAGGAAGAAATTCCTATAAAAATAGACTCTAAAAAGTGAGAACTTTGGGGTCTGATTCTGCAAACCAACTTCCAGGAGCATCAGATGAGCATCTGACAAGGCCCTGCTCCCTCCTCATGTCCAGGCCACCTGGCCAGTGGCTTGGCATGAGCAACTCTAAGGCTGGTAACTATGATAACAACCTTGCAGAACCTCTGTGTGTGTGTGTGTTTGTATGAATGAATGTGTGAATAAATATGAGATTGAATGGCATGTTATAGCTATAACTAACTGCTTACTATGATTCTTTCTGTATTCACAATAAATGTGGTATTTTGCCTTTTTCCCTTTAATAAGATCCTGCTGGTTTTTATTTTATTGGTACAACATATAAAACTTTTCATCTGAATAAACAGTTTACTGTTGTAGACTTAGAACTAATTGCCTTTAAATGTTTACGTTTAATAATTAAGCCGCACCATTTGCAGCGCATGCACTCAACTTCATCCTTTTCTCCTGTTTTTGTTTTTTCAAACTTTCAAATACTGTACAACTTTGTGTTCTGAAACATATTCTGATACAGATTTTCATTCTCTTCCCATTTTAGTGTGTCAGATCTTTAAACCGTTATCTGCAAACAGCTTGAAATGTGTATGTGGTGGGTATGAGATTCATCAGTACATTCAGATGCGCACGCGCTACAGAGCTCACATGCGTGCCTGTTTATTGTGTGTATCTTCTAGACTAATACATAGCCTTCCTTCAACAGGCAGCTTTGCATAAACACACAGACTAATGTATGATTGTATTACATATATCTCATGCAATGTATTCTAGTTTCCTAATAAAACAAGTTTTTTTTATATATTTGAATGATTAAAAAGTAGGGTGAAAATCAGAAAAAAATGAAAAATACCTTTTGTAAAACCTGGGAATTTTTTGGTAAAAATCGGTTTAAACTGAAATTCAAGGGTCTTAAAAATAAATTAAAGATGTGACCTTTGGTCCAGGTAATATTTCACAATCTATCAAAACACAACTGGCTATGTACAGTGCCACACAGCTCCAATTTATTTTACTCTGCCTCTGCAAATTACTAATTGCTCCAAAGCCTGTGACCATACAGCCCTTTCTGAATTGTGTAACATTATACATCTCCATGTTGCTCTCAACATTTAAAAAAAACTTAATGAAAGAGATGATCTGAGCTGGATTAGAAACTAAAAAGCTGCTTAAATCCTTTACTTACTGGATACACATGCACAGACATTTGAATAACGATTTAATCAACTAATGGAGGTACGATATTCGAAAGAGTATATTGGTAAGTGGACAAGGTTTACACATCAAAGTAGCTAAAAACCCTGTAAATCCTGAGGGAATTGGAAGAGAGGAAGATGCCAAGCTATATTATCCCCCTCTTATCTGTTGAACACATATGTAGCCCCAAATAAATTCTAACACTGAACAGGGAACTAAAATCTGTGGTTGGTGGATGCTGCAGCTTCATGAATATTAGCTGGAATAAAATCCAAATTAGTGTGATTGTTAATGAAAGTAAGGTGATAAAGTCTGAGAGTTTTGGCCTGGTGAAGATGCCTATACAAGCTTGCTGGTATTTGCTTCTGCTGAAAGAAGTCCTGAAAGCTTCTGAAGCCACAGCTCCATCACATTTGGGGAAGGCAGGGAGAAAGAAGCATGTTAAAAAGATGACACAGAAATATAGTACGATGACAGACAACAATGTAGAGCACAGCAATTTATATATCATGCACTTGTAGTTTTGATTTTTGATTAATGAAGCAGCAGTGGTAATAGGGTATAACTGAGGGACTGTCTACACTTAAAATGTTGCAGTATAGATACTACCTATGCCAATGAGAGGGATTTTCCCATCGGTATAGGTAATCCACCTCCCTGCCTACATGGGGACTGAGGTCATCTTAACTATGCTGCTCAGAGTGTGGATTTTTCACACCCCTGACCGATGTAGTTAAACCAATTGAAGTTTCTACTGCAGACCAGGCCTGAGATACAGGGATATTCCTAAACCAACTGTCAGCAATAAAGACTGGTAAAAATGTTGAAAAGCGAAGTTGAGACATGCCAAATAACCTATTTTCTTCACGTATATAGAAGCAGAGCCTCCTCAGATTCATCAATACAGTGCAGGAACCTGTTTTGGGGTTTGTTTTTTCAGATGATTGACATCAGTACTGTATACCTTAGTGAACAGAACCCTGAATGGAAGCATTTTTATATAATTCATCCTAGTACAGTTAAAGCATGGAAAAAAATTAGACAAATTGAGGTTCATTTAAAACAGTGTATTCCAAAGTATGGGGAGTACAAAGGACTATCAAAAGGGATGTTGCTGGGACTCCACTGTGCTCCAGTCTCAGCTGTCTTTTTTAACATTCGTCTTCACTTGTTATGGTAGCAAAGAAAACCTTGCCACCCAACCCGCAGGTAACCGATGCGGTGATGTCTGCCTGAAACAACAGCTCTTAGTGAACAGCCCCAGTCATTTCAGTGGATGCTAATTCAGATGCCAATGATGATACTTCAAAATGTCAACTTTGTGAACAATTTTGTTCACTGAAACCTGTAAAAACAAGAAGCAGTATCACAATACGAGTATCTACACAATCTACTCTGAGTGACTGTTAATTTTGCCTTGGCCTTCAATACCACATGGTAGGGATGAAGGGAGATGTGTCTGGTTTCATTTTCCTGAAGGAGGCCTCAATTTTCAAAAGGCGGCAAACACTGACTGAAGCCATGCATGATTTATAATTCCAGAAACGAAAGGGTGAGAAAAATATTTTTAAAAACTCTAAGCTTAAAGAATCTGTTAGAAAGATAAAAATCCACATGGAAGGTTATACAAATTGTCAGAAAGACCCTTGTAACTATTAAAACCTGCCATGTAAATAATACTGACATTTTGAAATACTAAGAGAAAAAATGCTCTGGCCTTTTTTGGAACTTATACAACATAGTTTAAAAGTGTTATATTCGTTGCGTTCTGTCCATTCCGTACAGCACAAATACTTAAATGATTTTTTTAAAAGCAAGTGCAGTATTAGCTGACCTAAAATGACATGTCAGTTCAATCTTCAATTTAGTTTTACAAATACCTATATTCACAAGTTCTTACTATGGGAATACTCAAAAGCCCATCAGAAATCCTGATTAAACATGGATGTTATTTTAGGTGGTACAATAAGAGCAAAAAAATTTGCTTTGAGATGTGGATATATTTTATAGCATCAAGGGCAAAAATAAAGCAACTTCAAACATGTTTTTTTTTTTTTTAAAGTGCTCCAGGCTGAATTATTCTTCAAAAACCAAGTTATAAACCCATATGGGGTCTAAGACAGATATGCTGACTGACCAATATATACAGAACAATAGATAATACTCCGTAGAACCTCAGATATGAACACCTTGGGAATGGAGGTTTTAACTTTAAAATATTGGTAATTCTCAACAAAATGTTATGGTTGTTCTTTCAAAAGTTTACAAATTAACATTAGCT